TGGGCATGGAGGAGGGGACTTTGGGGATGAGCACTGAGTGTTATGTAGAAACTAATTTGACAATAAACTATTTGTAAAAAAAAAAAAAAAAAAAAAATGGTATTCCCATGAACTGGAAGTTAATCATTTACAAAGCAAGCTTTGCTTAAAAGTCACACGCTAGAATTCAGTGAAAGACACCAGCACGGCACACGTGCTGCAGCCACACTTGGCCACACCACTCTTCCTGGATGTGGAAGTCACATCAGACCTGTGAATACTCAGGCGTGATCATCAGGAACGTCAACCTTCACGCTGTGAACAAGCACAGAATGCTGACAAGGAGAGATTTCTGCTTGAGAGATTTCCCAGTAAGCTAACTTTCACAGGCCTTACAGCCAAAGGAAGGAACAACCTTGTGTGCAGGCATCTTTATCCCAGGGAAGATCTCAGCCCTGATTGTCAATCAGTTCAAGAGAACATTAACACAGCCATTTCCATGCTGGTTTATTTGGCTCAAAGAAAACCAGGCTCCCAAATTTCACACGCATCTCTCAGCTACCCTCTGCTGACTCTTCCTGCCCCTACAGAGCAGCACACCATCATGGTACCTACATCCTGCTCTGCGGTGAAAACCGCCTCTTCGTCTTTAAGGAATAAACAGACTTGGAGATGTCTCAAGTTTCCAACTATTTTCTTTCTCTCAAATGTGACAATGTCATTCCTAGCAGGGAGAGAAGTCTTAATTGAGCAGCTATACTCTGGCTGATATCATGTAACCTATGAAAGACAAAGCAAGTCTTCTGGAGTGAATACCAGCTCTGGAGGCCTAAAGGATTTCAGTATTTTCCCCATGGTTGGAAGATACTGTTCCTCAAAGTGTGTCCTACTCAAAATCAAGTACAGGGTGCCATGTCAATACACGGTTTTCTCCATGTTTTAAGGTAGTTAATAAACTTTTTTTAGTATTCTAGCTGATGTTTCTAGTCAAATGGTTTTCATAGGTTAAGAATTTCAGAGAGAAGGGAACAGAAAGAAATCAGTAAAATGCAAGGCTAACCCAAGTTTTATGATATAAACTTTTGAGAAAGAATAATCTTTATTCCTTTCAAATGAGGAAGCCATACACAGATATTTTAAGTAGGATAACCCATTATTCTGTTTTTATAAATTTTGTTATAAAAATACAGACCTTCATTATAGAAAATCTCAGATTTTTCTTAAATTGATAACACCACTGTGTATAGCAAGTTGATGAAAAGCCCTGGTAATAACCCTCCAGATCTATTCAATCACAGAAAGAGAAAGTGCTGATGCACTGATACTGCCCACATGTTTTCAAAACAGTGTGTTTTGGCGTCAATAGCCAATACAACTCATAGTGGCCATTAGAAGACCCTGGTCTCTAACTAACAGCCCAGTCGTTTTTGAGCAGATCTCCAAGTAAACTTGGTCTCACCCTTCACACTAAGACACCGACACATAAGACAAGGGCAACCCTGATCCAGAACAGAGAATTTCCTTGCAGAAATAATCTGGTTCCGAGAAAGCCCAATTCCCCAACCCTGGAGGTTGGGTTTCTCTGCTGAGTGAACAATTTTTTCAATGTGGACTTGCTGCTCATCTTAACAATCACCTTACTCCCAAGTACAGGGGAAGGGGAGTTGGGGGGAGAAGGCTCTGGATGAGAGAAAAATGCTGTGACCCTTTCCTGTAGTTAGCCAGAGAGGACTCTCTTACTTCAGCCCATTTCTTAGCGGGACCATGAGGGGGTTTAACATAGAGGCCTGAACAGATAAATTCACTGCACTGGTTTTATTTTTTATAAGTAGCCGCAATAAGGCTCAAAAGCCTCCGAGTTGCTAAGGCCGGCCTTTGCCTTTCAACCACCTTCACCTGTGTCCCGGGATCTTCCATTCCACGCATGCGCTCCTCCCCTCGGGCTGTACGCCGGCTGCGCATCCACAGCTAGAACTCGGGAGGCTTCCGCGCTTTGCACAGACACGGTGCAGGAGAAGACAAGCTCAACAACTCAAACTCTCTACACATAACCTTCCATTCTCTCTCTACCAAGCAGTAACTTTGCAAAGACTTTTTTGTCTTTCTGTGAGTAAGGAAAACGGCCAACGCTCTTCACTTCCCCGTCCTCAGCATCTACGTGGATGCAGTGGTGGCATCACCACCGCGAGCCATCTCCTTCCACATCCAGTGGGATGCCAAGGGAGACCTCTCAGGGCCTGGTTTCCGTTATTTTTCCGCAAGGCTCAAAGGACGTGCACACCTTTCATCATCCATTTCCAGGCTGGATTCGCTCTCGGAGAGCTGCCGACAGAGGGCTTCCCTTCTCTCCATCTCTCTCTGCAGCTTCCTCTGCAGCCGCAAGTTCTCCTCCCGCATGTGGCGCTCCTCCTCCAGATACTGCGCCATCTTTTCGGAATCTGAAAGGCCGGAGATCTCTGTTAGACTGTGGCTGCCAAGCAGCAATGCTGAGGCAGCGGCTCCCCCCCATCCCCCTCACTCGGAGAGATCTGGATCTAAGGTTTCCCCCACGTATCAAAGTTTACCGACAGTTTGCATTTAGAAAAACACATACATATAAAACGACACTGGGAGTCACTAGGCACCTTCACTCCCACTTACTTGCCTTCTGAAATGATTTTTGTGTAAGAGGAAAGGGCAGCCAGGGAAATCGAGTCAGCCCTGGGCTCCCCTCAATGAGGCACCAATTCTGCTGGTCCTCAGCTCCAGACACAGAGGGAGCCCATCAGCCTGTTAGCACACCTGTAACAGGCTACTAGAACACTTGGTATGTTAGAATTCTCTTTATAAAAATAGAAATTGTTGTAGTGAATAGCTTTAGATAAATATGTCACCTCTAACTTTCGGGGTATGTGTGACTCTACTTCCCTGATTCATGCACAGCCTGAGACAGGTGGCAGGTACAGACCCGTGCGCAGCTGGGTTCTGGGGACAGAGTCTTGCTTATGACAAATCCCCGTTCCTCAGGAACTGCCCCATAGAGCGAGGCCTCCCTAAGGTACCCGTCTCCAGGGCGAGGGCCGATTAGCCTCAGGGCTAGACGGGAACCAGGCTGAGCCCATCAGATTCTCTGTACAGGAATCTGAAGTGTCCAACTGACATCTTCATGGAGCTCTAGAATGCCCTCATGCTGAGTTCTCTGGAGCTTTCACAACCCCTGCCCTTCTGAGGTCACTCTGTACAGGACTGTGGGGTATATTCTGGCACCGTTCAAACGAACAGTAAAACATGACCGCCCCCAGCCCTTTGCTGGTTTACATCTGACAGCATATGTTGTTACTAAGTCACAAAATAATGTTAATACAAAATGCAGTGTTAACCCATCTTCTTGCTTCCATCCTCTTTCCCTCCTGGGGAGCCAATGAACCTCCTGGGAAAAGTAAAATCTCCACCTACTTCTCGTGTCTGGAAAAATAGCTACAAACTCAGAGTGGCCATGATCATGTTGAGGAGAGAGTCCTACAGGTTTTTGCTCCATATTACTAGCCCACTCCAAATTTAAGAAGGAAGGAATGTGTGGAATGCCACCTGACCACCTCTTCCCCACAAAGTGACCCTACTTTAACTCTCCAGTCCAAATTACTTTCAGTTTTAAGCATTTCTATGAAGTTCTGGTGTTTTAGCAAATAATTACTTTTGATGTTAAGTATTCAATGATTTCTAAGACTGCATCATTACAGAATACATAAAAGCTCTTGAATATCCTTATTTTAGAAATGCAAATAAAAATACCTAAATTATTAAAGAGTTATGTGCACTGAAACACTAAATCCCTCAGTTGTTTTCAATATAACCAGAAACCCTGCTGTCTAATCCAGATGCAAAAATCTCTTTAATTGAAGGCATGCTGGGTAAATATTTACAAAGTACACTTTTAATATAAATGATTTAAATTATTTCATCCCAAATATGCAAGCATGCAGAACTTTTCACTAGCTCTACAGGAAGCACTAGATTGGCCCCTTGGAGTATTATTGTTTCTAGAACAAGAAGGGCAGCTGTTAGAGCAAGTTGCCTTTCTTCTCCATAAACAGGAAAGCTTCAGAGAACTGAGGATTCATGAGGCTTCAAGAATAATCATTTAAGAGAAACACTGTCTTTCAGATGCAATCCTTTAGCATCCAAAGAAATCCTTAATAATCTATACACAAGAACATCAGTCAGCGGGAGTGATGGCTGAAAGACTTTCCTGGCAGTAGGGCAATTAACCCAAAAGCTAGAGGACAGAGAAGGCGCCAGGCCCAATACCTCTGGGTGTTACAGACCCAGCCGGAGATGGCTGAAGTGGTGGTATTCCTTGGGTGCCCTCTGCTGGCACACCACCACACTGAACTTCAAGAAACTGGATTTACTCCCATGAGTCACAGAACCCTCTCACCCTCTCTCATACAGAGTTCCCAAGATTCGGGGGCTAATGCTTCCCCCATCTTCAGCCATCTCAGAACACTTATAAAGTTAGCATCAATACAGGGTGATTTTCAGAGACTCTGAAGAGGCGGTTCCCATATGATCCAAAGGTGGCCTGTAGATTTTGCATCCCCTTTCAAGTTCAGTTTTAGAAAATGCTGATGCCCAGATCCCACCCCAAACAAATCCAAATCCTAAGGATGCTGGGATACTGAAAAGCCCCCAAGGGATTCTCATGTTCATCCAGTGTTGAAGAACTATTGGGACAGGTTCAAGTTTTGATACCGTTGGACTTGGAGGAACTGCCCCAGCAGCATGGCAGGGAGGTCGGCTATCTGACCTCTGGAGGATAAGGGAAAGTCACTAACTTGTCTTCTCAACCAATCCAGACCAAATGTAAGCAGCAGGGAGCCACATGCCCCTTCTTCCATTCAGCTTTCTCTGCCCTCATGAAATTGAAATAGCACTTATGGATGCTCCTGTAGGCATCTGCAGTCTCTTCAGAGACCAAATAGTGCCAGAGGAAGAAAAGTTATGGGAATGAAAAATTCTTCCCCAATTTCTTCTAAAAATTTTGTCTGGGGCATAAGTATACACAAGAAAGAAAACTAAACTGCCAGCACTGGAGGGAGTTCAGAAAGGTGCTAATGAGAGATCTGTCTCACACAGCAAAAACTCAAAAAATATTCTAACTTAACTAGTATTTGAGAACTCACTGATTTGCTTTCATGAAATGTATGTAGTGGTTTTCAACCCGAGGTACACATCACAGTTCTTTGTATTAAAACAAATGGAGGATCGGGTTCTACTACTAGAGTAAGTCCAGAATCCTGTATGAGATTAGACACAACGATGGACCCTCAAAAGATGACCACATCCTGATCCCTGAACCCTGGAATTATGTCACCTTCCATGGCAAAAGAGACTTTGCAGCTGTGATGAAGTTAAGGACCTTGGGATGGGAATATCCTGGATTATCTGGCTGGGCCCAAGGTAATCAAAGGGTCCTTATAAGAAGGAGGAGTGAAAAGATGCGATCATGGATGCAGGTAGAATGATGCCAATGCAGGAAGGAACTATGTCCCAAAAGGTGCAGGCAGCTTCTAGAAGCTGGAAAAAAAACAAGGAAACAGAGTCTCCCTAGAGCCTTTTACCAGAAACCAGGCCTGCTGGCAGCTTGAGGTTAGCCCAGGGAGACCGAAGTTGGACTACTGGCCTCCAGGACTATAAGTTAATATATGTGTATTGTTTTAAGCTACTAAATTTGTGGTCATTTGTCACAGCAACAAGAGGAAACTAACACTATTTTTTAAAGGTTCCAAGGATAACCTTGAGTCACCATCCCAGATGCACTACTGGACTAGAACCTACAGTGAACTTTACAGAAGACAACACTAAGGTAAGAATCATCGAAATTTTAAATGCTCATTCATGTGACTCAACAAATCCACTTCTGGAGTTTCTCCTGAAGGTGCTGTTGCTCAGGTGTCAAATGTGTGGACACAGATGTCCACTGGGGTTGCAGCACCACAACTGGTGTGGGACCAGTTAAATAAATTATGGTATATGGTACCCATGGGCGATGTGCTCCAAGCCCCCCAATGGAGGCCTGAAACCAAGGAGGGCACCAAACCCTATATATACTATGTGTTTTCTCAACATACACACCTAGGATAAAGTTTAACTTCTAAATAAGGCACAGTAAGAAGTCAACAAAGTAATAATAAAATAGAACAATTTTAACAACAGAGTGTAACAAAAGTTATGTGACGTTGTCTTGGTCTCTCTTGTAGGGAGGGAAGGCCTCCCCCAAGATGGGCCACTTTGGCATGAACATTATTTAAAGGTAAAAGCAATCCAAAACCAGCAGATTTAGGAAAAGCTCTTTACCTACCCTCCTCCAATGCCTGCTTGTACCAGGAAGAGCGCTATAAACAGAATCCTCTTTACCTAAGAAACTTCTCTACATAACAGGGACAGCTTTGTTTTCTAAACATGTCCTCTCATTTCTTGATGGTCTGTCTTCCCTTTGTATCCTCATACCCCCCCTCCCTCCTTGTCCAAATAAGCTTCATGTTGCCTGTCTTTGGAATTTCCACTTCTGTGTGGATTCCCTGTATGTATGCTATTAAATTTGATTTTCTCCTGTTAATCTGCCTCATGTCAATTTGAATCTTAGTCTGACTAGAAGGACCTTGAAAGGCAAGGGAAGGTCTTCGTCCCTGACACTCAAAATATCTTACTGTGTGTGTGTCCTTGCCTTTCTTGTGATGACGTGACATAATACAATGCCTACGTGAGGAGATGAAGTGAGGTGAACGACACAAGCATGTGACATATCATCAGGCACTACTGATCTGAAGATAAGTCAGGAGGAGGCCCATCTGCCTCCCAACTACAGCTGACCACAGGTAACGGATACAGTGGGAAGCGAAACTGGGGGTAAGAGGCCACTAGTGTATCCACATGACTGAATACCAAACAGCCTTTTAAAAAGGGAGTAAGACCACTCTCTGTATGTATTGGCAAGGAAACAATTATGATATACAGTAAGCAAAAAAAGAAAAATATAAGAGTGTGTTCACTGTGCTACTTTTGTATAATGTAAGTTTATCTGGAAGAACATATAAAGACCATATAATTGTGAGACGTGGGTGGCTGCGGATCAGGGGTGAGACAGAGAGCTACTTTTCCCTGCATACCTTTCATTCACTACATGGGCTATTCAGATCCACGTGGGCAAACCAACTGCAGAAACAGGAGCAAACACACAGTGCCCTAGGCAAGTGTTCAGAAATCTAGTTCTTTTGATTTCCAACTCAATATCTTGACATTTTCCAAAATAATCAGTATAAATTTTTAAAGCATTTACTCCTCAAGTACGATGAACAAATGTTAGCTGATGCTAAACTTTAGTAGTAAGGAAAATAAATACTATATTCTCTGCCTTAATCCCCCAAAAGTACATTTGTTACTATAATCTTAGAAATGAACATGGGGCAGAGGATTAAAAATAGTGCCTGATTCTGGACTCTCCTCAGATTATTTGATTTTTCTAGAAGCATTCTAAACTATTTGCCTTGTCCTACTATACTAATCCTACTATTCCAGGATGATAGGAAGATTACTAGACACAGGTACTGGTAATGAAATACAGTATGGATTTGATTTATGCAAATTCAATGGTAAATACTGGTAAAATCCTGTAACTGGGAAATGGATTAATTCTGCACTCAGAAGACCAGTGAAATTAGAGGCTACATACGCTGTAACTGAGCGGCTCTCAGCTGCTTCTTCAGCCTCTCCACTTCATTCTTTAAAAACCTTATGTGGCGCATCATGTTTTCTGGAGAGTCTATCTCCATGGAGACGTCTCTGGGCGACGGGGGGGCAGACACCGGCTGGTCTAATTTCTCCTGCAGGATTCTTCAGTGAAAAGAAAAATTCCAACAATGAAAAACAGTTTGCCTTAAAAGACAAAACAACATACCCGCTGGAGGGTTTGTTTTAATAGCAAACTCCAATAAATCACTGGAATTCACAGGGTTTCCAAACTCCTCTGCCCATTTTATATCCACTTCTGGGCTCCCTTATCTAGGATCCAGGACAAGGTCAAGGGCAGGGCCATAGGATCCACCCTCCTTTTTTTTCTTTTCAGGGACCATTGGTAATTAAGCATTAGTGAGAAAGTCTCCAATGTCTGCTTTTGATTACTGTACTTGGCATACAGTAGGCACTCAGAGTTATCTGGTACCTAAGCGTTCATCATGCTGGTTTGTAGGGATGGAAATACTAAAGAAATTTCACTCAGTGCTGGTAAAACTTACAAACTCTGTACTAATGAGCCCCCTTGGAAGCTGGCTTTACGTAGTCTCCACTTCTAAAATTCCCTCCTGAAAAATCAATCCTAAGGGCATGGCAAACCGGGCTGAAGGCCGTCTGCTTTTGGCCATAGCAGAGATAAAAAGATAAAGAATAAAATAAAACCAGAATCACTGGGCTAATAATTGGTGGTCCCACCCTCTCTGCCAATTATCATTAGTTTGAAGCGTATGGAATGTAAATATTCAACAACTTTTGACCTACAGATGATAATTTCGTATTGTTTAACATGATATTTTGGTATTTATCTATATAAAACCTCCAACTGCGTTCTGCAAAGGCAGGCAGACTGACAGTGGACCTCCACATCCCCTTTTATAAGCTGCTAGGGGTTTGGTTTGATTTGGCTTTTAACTTTTTACCTTTAAGATTGCCCAAATGCAAACTGTGAATCACCTTTGGGTCTGCCCTTGTTGAGAAAACTGGTATGTTAAATTATTGTAATGGTCCCTGCATTTATTATATTAAGTAACTTTTAATAATCAATTTATTAGTACCACCACAATAATGCAAAACAGCCGATTCACCTACAGCTTGAGTATTTCCCTAGAGACAGAGCTCTATTTTTCACTTAAAGACAGGACTGTATTTTGCAAATTTAGAGATGAACTTAAAATAACTTATGGACGTTCATCCAAACCAAATAGTTACGGCAAAAGGACTCTGGTTAGCAAACAAAAGATCCTAGTGAAGTAGATTAATGAACATTTTTTAAAAACTCCATTTCTACACATGAACACATCCCACATACAGAGCCTCTCTGCCATTCTTCAAGTCCTGCTCCATCACCCCGAAGGATGCAGTACTTAAAAATTAGGGCCTGACAGTGTCTTGCAAAAAGGGGCTCAAGAAACATTTGCTGTTGAATGACATTTCACATCCATGTACCTACATTTAGCACAATTCCTAACCTTAACTATGTTTGAGTGTTTCTTTACAGTAAGTTTTAAAACCAATAATAATTTTCCTATTAAAATCTCAGCCTTCCTAATGAAGTAATTCTAGAGATGTGCAGTCATTAACCGTACACAGTATACATCCCAACAACTTGAGAAAACTGGGGGAGCCAATTCAAGAAGGTAAAAAGTTGAAATTGCAGCCATCTTTAAAAACAATTTAAAGGTGAAAATTCACACCTGGGCTAACCTCTTCATAGCCTTTAACCCCAAATGACGATAAGAGAGAAATATAAAAAGGTAACCAGCATGAGAAGAGTTCAGAAGGCTTTCAACTCTCTTTTAGCTTGGCAAATTAATTAAGGAGTACATCCCCCAGAACATTACAATGCCCCTTTTGCTATCCCTGTCACACCCAGCTCAGCACCCCAGACGTGCACACACACCCCGTACTGAACAGCAAGACTCAACAAACCGCTTTTCAGCTTCAAGTTTGTCCATCCTTTTCCAGAGACGATTAACTAGTGCTTCTTGTTCTTGTTCCAAAGTATTTTCAAGGTCAATCTTCTCTCGTCTCAACTAAAGGAAGGAAAAAGTTTTACTGAGAATAGTAGGCCATTTAAACTTTGTTAATGAGATTTTTTGATTGGACCATTAGGACCCTTGCTTGGAGAAATCTGCAAAGAAACGGCCAATTTCCTGCCACAGACACATTAAGCACATCTAGTTCTTAAACCTTAATTGAGAAAATCGAGACAGGTTCACTCTTTGATGTGAATGCTTCATTGCCTCCTGGTACATGAATCACACTGCTTGTTTCAGCATTTAGTTAAGACACATGAAAGTCTTCCTTAAAGAGGGTCTGGGGGAGCTGAGCTTACCACTCACACCAGGACTTATCCGGGTCTGTCCCTCCCCACCCAAGTCCTGCATGTAGCCCAATGTTAAAACCAGAAAGGTTATATTACCATTTATATAAATAACTCAAACATCTCAAGACAATTCTATGTACTAGTTAAAGGATGCACAATACTAGTTGCCTCTGAGGACATAGAGAAGAAGAAGATCTGATTTGGGGGAAAGTATGCAGTTGCAAAGGAAACCCCAAAACACACTCTACGAAAGAAGCAAACACGGAAAAATTCATGTAATCAATCAATATTGGGCAATATGCAAATACTGTGAACAATGCCAGCCAATGGCAATCCTCCGCCTATTGGCAGGGAACCAAAGTCTGAATTTTCTGCCCTCATGACACTTATATTTCAGTGGGGTATAGATAGTAAGTGAAATAAGTTATATACTTTTGTGGAGAGTGAAAGAGATATGAAGATAAACAGGGCTAGCAAGAGGGATAGAGAGAGAGTGCAATGCTAAATCACGCCCACGGTAGAATGAATATGTTAGATCCTTCTTTGTAGTTATCTACATGTTTGAGATATTAAATACTTTTAACAGGATTTTTTGAGAGAGAAAGGCTATGGTACTGCTCCTATACTGTCTCTTCAACCAGTAGCAATTTATCTTTCAATCACTGAGTCAACAAATTATTTTTGATTGCACAGCTGCAAAGATGTCCTCAGCAGGTCACAGAGACTCCTCACTGATCAGAGGTCCCTGTGTACACAGTAAAATGAGACCAGTACCATGTATAAACCATAGGCTTTTAAAGCAACCAGAGCAGATCTTATTAACAGAGAATAAACCAAGATCACATGGTCAAATAAAAGTACAGCTTGGAAATACCTTCCCTGCATGGGGGTGGGGAGGGGAGTGGGGACTCAGAACAAGTCAGAAGCATTCTGTGGAGTAAAGCTGGGAGCACACGAATGCACAAATGCTTTTCAGAATATCAGACACTTCTGACCTGCAGCAACTGGGAGAAACACTGGAGCAGCTCATGGAAGCCCTATTAAACTGTGTGATTCTCTGTGCTGACCACATGTTTAGCCAAGCTTTAAAGTACAATTCACAGCCATTTTTTTTTAAGAAACAAAATTCCAAGGCATTTACCCCATAAGGATTCTGTTCCTGTGCTTAACTAAAAGCATTATAGAGAGTACCTGGTAGGCAAGGAAAAATTCAAACAAGGCATCATTTTACAGTACGGATGCCTTGTAAAATTATACCCAATTGCTTTTAATTTTAGAGTAATCACGCATAATGCTAATCAAGAACTCTGAAAAGCAAAATCAAGACAAAGCTGTCTGTACCCATGTACAACATAATAATAGGCATGTGGCTGTGAGCAGATCCTTATCCACTAAATGAGAAGCCTGGCCTGCCTGACCTGTGCAGTCCTGTCCAGGACTAGCCACTATCATTCTATGTCAGCCTTACGATGGCAGCTGTCTTCAGTCTAAGCCAGTTCAGCCCCAGACCCTTAAAGATGGGAGGAGCAAGAGAACCACTGAAGCCCACCCTTTCATTTCAGCATGAGGGACCACTGGCCTGGGAGATGGTGTGACTCCGGCAAAGCAGTATCTCCAGGATAGGAGTGGCAGCAGTCCCCACAGTGGCCAAAAGACCTGGGCTCTCTCCAACCCTCAACTATGGAGATCCTGAAGGGAAAGTGAGATTTAGGGTAAATTATTCTGAGAGAGTGGGAGAAACAAGCTGCAAAGGTACGCAAATCCCAGGTTCCCTTCAGCACTTACTGGTTGAGCTACAAGCTGTCAATTTACTGCCCACTTCAGTGAATGAAGGCTTCCTGTGAAAGCCAAGTTTGCTGTACCAATGCTCTACAAACTTACTTCCATGAGCAGATGACACAGAAGGCCCCAGCTCAGCGGCTCAGACAGGGGGGTTTCATCACGCAGGCAGGCAGTGCTGTAGGAGCCCACGTTGTCTTTAGCCTCAGAAAGGGTAGGGTCTTTCAGGGTTTTTTTTAGTTTTAAAAAATCTGTTTTCAATAAATGAATGAATGAATGCTTTTAAAAATTAAAAATCTCAACTTGTCTGCATTGCTGAGGAGGTCTCACTGACATGAAAGGGCAAAGAAGTTAGAGGAAATGGTATTATCATGATTAAGTATGATTATGATTAATACTCTCTTGAGTTCTGGATCAGAGTTGCCCCTCCACCTCTTGCCTAATTCCACAACCCATATACATCTAGAGCCAGAGCATACACACCAGCTCTGCCGATTCAGATAGAAGTAGATTTTCTGTGCTCACACTGTCCTGATATCGGACAATCCTCAAAACTGACAGTGTATGTTGAGTTTACAGAGTAGTAAGTCAGAGAGTCTTGCCTGAATGGAAACATCATCCCAGTGACACACTGCTTTCATTACGCTGGTCTCTAACTGTCATACTCTCCCCACCTCCTTCCTAATAATATCTGAAGGCTTTATACATTCAGTGTTCATGCCACAGGCACCCGTTCATCTATCGCCAACATCAAATTCTCAGGCAAACCCAAGCCCCTCTGACAGCTGATTCTGTGAGTACTCAGCACCAGTGGATATCGCAGATTTGTATAATACTCATTTGAAAGTCTGCTTTATAATTAAGTCAGCTCAATGGACTGCCAAATTCTTTTCTTCTCTTCAGTGGCTCTCTTTCCCATTGCAAGTTAATTAACGTCAGACCAAGAGTTCTTATTATGCTCCCAAAATAAATATGGAAACTTCAGTGGATAAACTTAAGAGTATAAAAATCTAGCTGGCTCATCTGAATTCACAGCCCATCCTATCTGTATCTTCTCAGTGGGCAGATACTGACCCATCACCAAAAAAGCAAAAGGTAGGGGGCAGCCAAGAAATGGCTCCAAACACCACCACACTTTTTTCTCACTGCAGCATTTTCCGATTTAAAGAGAACTGGGACACTGGGATGGGAGCAGAGGTGTGGGAAAGAAATGGTTAGCCAAAAAGCCTCATGAGAACTTCAGCCTAATCGTCGTGCTCAATTATAGAATTCTGGAAGGTCTTAGTGGACTTTTTTCAATCTATATTGACAAGTTTTAGTCTAACCATATTATCATTGTTTCCACAGGAGAATGTATTTTGAATCCCAAACCTATGGCTTAAAAAATTTTTTTGGAAGGCAGCCCATTACAACTAATCTAAGAGAATAAAAGAGAGGGAAAAGCCCATGGAATAAGAGCTATCATACAACCAGAACACACACAGTCTGTTACAACATAGAGTAGAGGGCAGTTAGGTGGTGATGATGTAAGGAGAGTACCCCATGTTTAAAAAAGAAATCACAGAACCCTCTAAGACTGACATTAACCAAACTCTTAGTTGGCTAGACTTTTTTTTCCTGAGAGAGAGAATTCCTGAGAAAACAAGTGGGTACTGGGGATTAGTACAACAACCCCCCCAAACCTTCCAAGTTAGGTAGTATCTAAAGGCTATTAATAATTCAGCCCAATTTCCAGTCAATTTATTATATCATTCATACATTATAGATGTTCAAAGTGGTGACCTTGGAGATACAACAGGATAACCAGGGAAAATAACAGTATAATACTCAGAAAATGACTAAATTACAGTAAAAAAAAAAAATGAAAACATTTTTTCAATGGCTGAATGTTTGTGTCCCTTCCCCCCCAAATTCATATGGTAAAGCCTTAACTGCCAATCTGATGGTATTTGGAGGCGGGGCCTTTAGAATGTCATTAGGCTTAGTTGATGTCATGAGGTCAGGGCCCTGTAATGATGGGATTCATGTCCTTTCTAGAAGTCAAGAGAGACCTTGCAGCTTGCTGCTGTCTGCTCTCTCCCATGTGAGGGTACAAGAGGAAGTGGCAGTCTGCAACCTGGAAGATGGTCCTCATCAGAACTCCATCATACAGGGACCCAGATCCAACCTCCGGAACCATGAGAAATAGAAATAAAGCCAGTCTGTGTTGTTCTAGCAGCGCCAATAGGATAAGACCATTTTGTTTCTACAACAAGGAGTAGAGCCAATAAAAGATCTTACCTCATTCCATCCTACTTTGCCAATAAACCCAAGTTAATCAAGGTTTTACATAGACTTAGGAAAGAATAGGATTCATGAGGGGGCTATTAAAACAGATCAGGTGCAACTCACATGAAAAGAGGTGAGTATAATACATCATGTCCTTGCTCCGTGGCAAAGCCTTGTTCACAAATTAAAGCAACAGACACAGAGTTAAAGTTAAAAAACACTGTTGGTGCTTCTCTTGGTGTCTGTTCAGGCAATCAGTGGAATTTCGCTCAGCCCATACAATGTTCCTCCCAGCTGGAAGACATCTGACCCTTGCCTTCTGAAAAAAGGGTTTTTTATAGAAATCAAACAGCCAATTTTTATTACAGATGAGTTAAGACAGGTGTTCACAGACCTCAGAGCCCCCGAGGTACCTATCTGATTAAGCAAGCTGCAGCTGGTTTCAAAATTAAAACCAAGTTCTAGGTCATCACCACTGCTTGTGCAATGCAGAGCAAGTAAGAACTCAGGGAAGCTGGTCAGTGAAGAGCAAGACAAAAGGCGAGAAAGGCTGCTCACTTTTAAGTCCAAGTCAAAAATCACAGGTGAAAAATTTATGTACATCAGGAATATACTGATAGAGGGGAAAAAAGGAAAAAGATGTAAAAAAAAAATCATAAA